AGCTATGCTGCCTGAGGAATTCTGGGAGTTGAAGTCCACTAGTCTTAAAGTTGCCAAGTTTGGAGACCTCTGATCTAGTCCAACCCCATGCTGGAGCAGGAGAGCCTATTCCAAATATTAGCCTCTACCTAGGATCGAACTCACACTGTTAATGCCAAGACCACAGATAACAAGGTTGTCTTCTACACTGAAACAAACCTGCTCTTCTACCCTCATTAATGAGCTGTAAGTGAGCAAAAATGGAAAGGAATAGAACATCCCTGGAAGCTGTGCGTTCTGTCTCTTTCTGCATGGCCTCTGTCTATTTTCTCTTCTCTTCTTAGCTGAATCAATCTTCTAAGTGAAGGACTGACAATAATAAATACAAAGCCCCCTTTTCTGTTAGAAAAGGACAGAATCCTGGAAAGGAAAGAAGGAGAAAATAAAATAAATATGGAATCCCATAGCACTTTCAAGGTCAACTTTTATTGAAATGTAAGATTTCATGAACAGCAGCTCACTTTATGAGATGCACTGTGTAGGTTTCTCTTATAGGACTTTAAACGCAGATGATTAAAGGGATTGGGGGGAGAGAGAATAAGATTATAGATTTACATAACCTGATAGGTTTACTCAATAATTGATATGAAAACCCATTGTCCCTGTTTAAACCTTCTGTATGTAGATTGGTGATATCTAACATATTGCTGTTCGCCTATTTTTCACTATTTTTCACTTATGGGTGTGGAAGCTTCTCAGTTCCACCAATGCTACCTTGACTCAGTGATGGAGTATCCTGGGCGGCTGAAATGATGTGCCACTGTCTTGTCACTGTTTTGAGTTCCGATGTATGATTTTTGTCTGCTTATTCTCTTGTACAGAGTTTAACTAGCTTTCTTAAGTAGAATCCAACTGGGTTTTGTTGGTAGACAAGAACATAAATCACATTGAAGGATAAGCAAGTGAAGGCACCTCTCATATTGTAGGTGCTGTTGAGGGGCCTTGTAATAATGTTGTGACAGATGGTTGGATGTCTTGTCCCACGTCTTCAGCCATGTTGGCTATTCCTACAGGGAACTGAATTTCTGTACTGTACTGTCAAAATGTCAGCTTATCCCTATCTAGATTTTACTTATTGTATTTTTTAGAGTATAAGATGCACACACACACACACACACCAAAAAAAGTGGGTGGAAATGGTGAGGGCAAAAACAGGACACATGGAGGCAAAATATTTTTTCTTATTTTCCTCCTCTAAACCAAAGTGTGTCTTACAGTGCTGTGCGTTTTATACTCTGAAAAATACGGTAATACATGTCAATCTCAGATATGAACATAAGAACATTTTATGGAGTAGAACATTTCATGGTGGATACAATTCCTCCAGAATTGAGATCACTTGTTGCCCCTATATATTCAAGATCTATCTGTCTATTTATCTACTCATTGGAAAAGGCCCTGGTGTTGGGAAAGATTGCAGGCAAAAGGAGAAGAGGACAGCAGAGGATGAAATGGTTATGCAGTGCCATTGATGCAGTAAACAGGAATTTGAGCAAACTCCAGAAGACAGTGGAGGACAAGAGCCTGACTTATTATGGTTCAGTCACTAGGTTATATTATTATTATTATTATTATTATTATTATTATTATTATTATTATTATTATTATTATTATTATTATTAAACCAGTGACTAAACCACAAAAGCAATCTCTCTCTTAGATTGATGCTTCAGAAGCTCAATCTGGTTTGCAAAGGACTTCCTCATCCAATTCCCCCCCCCCCAATAGCAACTTTCCAATAAAGTTGAGCATGCTTTGGTCTAGGATGGGTCTTCCCAGTTCTAATGCAACACCTCAACGGCTGAATCCCAGGGACTTTTTAAAATCAGAAGCCAATTTGGTTGGGTGAGTTTTAACACAGGTAAAGATAGCTTGTCAGATTCATTAATAGTCTTTTAGTATCTTTTTTTTTAAGCATTCACCGCGTCTAATTTAGCAACAGGTTATGTATAAGTATTGCATTGCATGAATATTAGGATCACAAGCTCAAAGAAATCTCAGCCCTACTTTTTCAATTTTGAGAAATGTAGCTCCATCAAGGGCTGGCTGATGCATTTTCTTGTTAAAAGCAATTAACCTCAAGAAGATAGAAATAAGGGCAGATGGCTTTGGTTGAAAATTTTGGCAGCACAATGGATGCGTTACTCCAGATTAATGGACAAACTGAATGCTTAATGTTTATAGCACATTTCTTTTTTTTATTTTATATGCAATGTGCCATGGACTGCATTTTTCACCACATTTTAATTTTGAACAGTGTATATGAAAATGCCTGCTTACTAGCTTTGGGATCTCAATAAAGAAGATGAATGCTCGCTCTGTGTTTTCATTATTTCCATATTGGCATGCTCCAAACCCAAGTCCTTGCTTATTGTGATTCATGCAGATAATCTCTTGGGAGTTGTTAGGCTATTTGAGGATGAATTTGTTCAATAAAAGAGCAGGTCCCTAGGACCATGTTTGATGTAATCTACTGCCTTCCACTTGTTTCAACGATGATAACTCTCCAGAAATTTCACCATTGACTTATCCAACTGGTGGTGATGGGAACTGAATCTAAAAACTGGAAGCCAGCTGATTGCCCAACCCTAATTTAATGTCTTGAAGCCAACATGAGGTCATGTTCAGGTGTATTTTACAGTAAATAGCTGTGCATTTAACACTGGTTTGCAATTCCCTGTAACTGAATGATGTTGAACATGCTAAATTATAATTTCCCAGTCCTGTCTGCCATACGAATTACTAATTCCCAATGATCAAGCATTACATTATTGTGTAACATATAGATAGATCCTCTACCATCATTAGGATGACTCAGGTGATACTCAACGCCTGCCAATCAAACAGCTGTTGCCGCTCAGATACAGGTAGTCCTTAACTTACAACAGTTCATTTAGTGACCATTTGAAGTTACAACAGCACTGAAAACAATGACACATGACTGTTTTTCACACTTACGACCATTGCAGTTTCCCCATAGTCATATGATCAAATTCAGAAGCCTGGCAACTGGCTCATATTTATGATGGTTGCAGTGTCCCGCAGTTATGTAGTCACTTTTGCAACCTTCTGATAACTTTCTGCTCCTCAGAGCCTTCCACCGGCCCCAATGGTAACCGAGGCAACCCCTTTATCTCCTCTGGCTCATCTGACTCGACTGCCCTCTCCGCTGGCAGTCGACAGACCACAACAAATGCAGGCAACATGCAAAACCATACCTCCTCCGTCCTCGGAAAAAACTTTTTCCATAGAACTAGTCCCTGGTGCCCAAAAGGTTGGGAGCCAGTGGAATAGAATATTTATAGCAATATGTAAATATGAAGAATAATGTCAAAAGTCTTTTGAAGCAAGAGATTCTTACACTGTCAATGAATATATTAAAAAAGGAGATATCTTTTCAAACATCTTGATATATAGAGGACTAATATATTTTAATTTAACATACTTATTATCCTACAGTTTCTGAGTATGTGAAGTGAACCAAATTGGGAAGTTACTGTTTAATGATAATTTTGTGCTGTACTTGAACAAAATCCTATGGTTAATGAGTTGACTTAAAGCAAAGTTGATTTGTTTGGAAACTAACTGTAGTTCATAGTTATGCAGTAGAAAAGACATACTTAATTGTGGCTTCTCAGTTTGGTTGCTCTTCATGCAAAAGAAAGACGAAAGTGCCTTTGTTCAGGTTTGTGAAGCTTCTGTATATACTGATTTATCAAGCCAGGATGTGTTCATCGAAATGTGACCTAGCCTTAGAGGTATAATGGAAAAATAATTACTTTGCATGAAGATTAATTTAAGTTCCACGCACTATGAAATCTGAATCATGGCTTTAGTCAGAGGCTTTCAAGCAGTTTCCTTATTTGTTTATGATGTTCCAGTCTTTCTTTCTTTTTTATTATTTTAAGAGGATAATCAACCCTTCATTTCCACAAATATATGCAGCAGTGTGGGCGTAGCTTTGGCTTCAACTGGTTTCTGAAGCTTTCATAGAAGTTCTGCAGCTTCGAAGATCAGCTTTCCAACCCATCTTGTGCCATTAGCTTCCTGGGAGTCCTGAAAAATAACAGTTATTTTTCAGCTTCATTTCCTGATCTGTTAACTGAGAATATTTCTTCTGTGTCTCTCAATGGTTATTGCAAAAAAACAAAAACCCTAACAAAACAGGCATTGTGAATTGTTGCGAAATTGTGGACGGAATAACAGAGTCGGAAGGGACTTTGGAGGGCTTCTAGTTCAACTCGCTGCTTAAGCAGGAAATCCTTTTCAGACAAATGGTTGTCCAATCTCTTCTTAAAAAACCTCCAGTGATGGAGCACTCACAATTTTGGGAGGTAAATCGTTCCACTGATTAATTGTTCTGTCAGGAAATTTCTCCTTAGTTCTAAGTTTAAGTTCTATCCATTGCTTCTTGTTCTACCTCCAGGTGCTTTGGAGAATAGGTTGACTCCCCCCCCACTTCTTTGTGGCAGCCCCTTCGCCATTGGAACACTATTTTGCAACAATATTTAAGTAATAATATTTGCACTTTCCTCAAGAAAACGTTTCTTTGCTTTCTTCTGGGTCTCCAAACTGCCACGTTGAAATTGTAAGTGGAGGAGTTGGCTTAGATAGATAGATAGATAGATAGATAGATAGATAGATAGATAGATAG